AAGCTTATTGCTTACCTGTGCAGGGCAGCCGAGGGACAAACAAGTGGTATCGGAGCCGTACAAGCGCCATCACTGGATTAACCGCTGGCGATGACGGACGGTTCGGAGAAGGACGACAGCAGTGGCGCTGCTGTGGCTGCCCAGCCACGACAGGAGGTCGTCGTGCGCACGGTGCGGGAGGTCAGCGGCACCAGTTGGCCGACGCTGACTCGCACCAACTATGGCGAGTGGGCGGTGACCATGAAGGTCAAGCTCAGAGCCCAACGGCTCTGGAATGCCATTGACAAGGGCACCGACAACGAAGAAGACGACATGTCAGCGTTGGAGGCTATCCTCGCTGCTGTGCCAGCGGAGTACAGGGAGCCGTTGGGGGCGAAGAACTCTGCTAAGGAGGCGTGGGAGGCCATTGCAGTGATGCACGTCGGCTCCCACCGCGCAAAGAAGGCGACGGCCCAGCTGCTGAAGCAAGAGTATGCCAACCTCAAATTCAAGGATGGTGAGTCGGTGGAGGACTTTTCCCTCCACCTGCAGTCGCTCATCAGCAAGCTGAGGAGCCACGACGTCACCATCGACGAAGAAGAGGCGGTCTCCAAGTACCTCAACTCCGTGCCGGTGAAGTACATCTAGATCGCTCTCTCCATAGAGACGATGCTGGACTTGTTCACCGTCACCATTGAGGATGTGACAGGCCGTCTACGGACGGTGGACGAGCGCATGGAGCAAGCCATAGCAACGACGGACAGCGGCAAGCTGCTGCTGACAGAGGAGTGGGCTGCCCGGATGAAGGAGAAGAAGTCCGGGGAAGCCTCCAGCCGCGGTGGCGATGGCAAGCGCCGCGAGCAAGGCTTAGGAGAAGAAGAAGGTCGACCCCAACGCCTGCCGGCGCTACGGGAAGACGGGCCATTGGGCAAAGGAATGCCCAAATCGCAAGCAGGAGAAGGCTGAGGCTCATTTAGCGCAGGCTGATGAGGATGATGAGGCCACTCTCCTGATGGCGACGTTATGTGCACTGCACGATGTTGAGGCCAAGGAGAAGAGAGAGGTGATGGCGGTGGAAGAGCACGGGAAGGCTCTGAAGGCTGTCAACCTCAACGAACCGCGCGCCCAAGTCCACCTCGGACATGTGGGCGGCGAGAAGGAGCAACGGTGGTACCTGAACTCCAGCGCCAGCAACCACATGACAGGCTCTAAGGAAGCCTTCTCTGAGCTCGACGGCAACGTGACCGGCACGGTGGAGTTCGGTGACGGCTCAAGGGTGGTCTCGCGTGACGTCGTGTTCGATGAGATGGCGGCCTGGGACTGAGAGGGTCCGGGCACAGGGGAAGCTGGCAGCTTGAGCAGCACCTTCATCATCGAACACTTAGTCATCCACGGTGGTGGAGACGCTGGAGAAGAGGTGCCGACCACCCCAGGAGTGGTGCCGAGCGGTCCAGCAGCAATGCCGACCACTCCAGAGGGGGTGCCGAGCACTTCAGCAGCAGTGCTGAGCGCTCCAGCAGTGGAGCCGACCACTCCAGGAGTGGTGCCGACCGCTCCAGCAGTGGATCCGACCACTCCGGTAGTGGTGCTAAGCGGTCCAGTAGCGATGCCGACCACTCCGGCAAAACAGGGAGGCCATGGACCACCGATCGAGTTCACCTCTCCACCCACCGACATCGACGAGTACGTGGACGCTTTCCACGACGGCGAGGAGGTCCGATTCAGGCGGGTGGACAACATCGTCGGCGAAGGGGAGCTCCTGGGTTGGCCAGTCGTTTTCTCGACGACCCAGAGCTGCTCCTTGTTAGTGCAGAGGAGCCACCGACGTTTGCAGTGGCTGAACGCGACGACAATTGGCGCCAGGCAATGTTGGAAGAGATGAAGGCCATCGAGGACAATGGGACATGGGAGCTGGTGGATCCACCGGTGGGCTGCAGGCCGATCAGGTTGAAGTGGGTCTACAAGATGAAGCGGGACGAGCGCGGAGCCATGGTCAAGTACAAGGCTCGGCTCGTCGCCCACGGCTTCGTGCAGCATGAGGGCATCGACTTCGAGGAAGTCTTTGATCCGGTGGCGCGAATGGAGTCTGTTCGCTTGCTGTTGGCCATGGCAGCAGCGAAGGATTGGCGCGTCCACCTCAACGTCAAGTCTGCGTTCCTCAACGGCGAGCTCGCGGAGATGGTCTTCGTCAAGCAAGCTCCGGGCTGCGCAAGGCGCTCTACGGGCTGCGGCAGGCCCCTCAGGCGTGGAATGCCAAGCTCGACGCCACCTTGGGCGAGCTTGGGTTCACTTGCTGCGCCACAGAGCACGCGCGTTGTACACGCGGCGACGGGGAAGGAGCTCATCGTCGGCATGTATGTGGACGACTTGATCGTCACTGGAGCACGGGCGGAGGACATCGACGGCTTCAAGCGCGAGATGGCTGCTCGTTTCAAAATGAGCGATCTTGGCGCGCTCTCCTACTACCTCAGCATTGAGGTGAGGCAGGGGAAGGAGCACATCTCCCTGGGCCAGCGCGCCTATGCGGAGAAGCTGCTGGAGCGCAGCGGCATGGCGGAGTGCAAGCCGTGTGCAACTCCAATGGAGGAGCGGCTAAAGCTGTTCAAGCACAGCATGGCAGCGAAGGTGGAGGTGACGCGCTACCGGAGAATCGTCGGCGGGCTGCGCTACCTCACGCATACTCGGCCGGACATCACGTTCGCGGTCGGGTATGTCAGTCGCTTCATGGAGGACCCACGCGAGGATCACTGGACGGCGGTGAAGAGGCTGTTGCGCTACGTCGAGGGGACGCTCGATCAAGCGATCATCTTCCCCAAGAGTGGCGGCAAGGGTGGCCTGCGGCTCACGATCTTCAGTGAGGCACCCCCCAAGGCAAAGGAAGGTGAGCCGGAGCTCACTGTTTTCAGCGACGCAGACATGGCGGGCGACATCGACGGGTGACGGAGCACCTCCGGCGTGCTCGTCTTCCTTGGAGCGGCCCCCATTGCTTGGCAGTCGCTGAAGCAAAAGATCGTGGCGCTGTCGACGGCGTCGGCGGCGAGTCGTCGCAGCAGCCCACGACGACGGCGTGCAGTCTGCTCGGTCGCTGGCATTTCTTTGGGTGAGTGACCGGCGGAAGCTCACCCGCTTGACTCGATGGTGGACAATCACCGCCATATCCCTCGCTAAGAACCCCATCCTCCACCACCGAGAGCAAGCACATTGACATCAAGTTCCACTTCCTCCGGATCGCATCGATGGAGGGCGATCGTCATCAAGTTCGCCGAGACCGGCGGCATGGACTCACCGACATCCTCACCAAGTCACTCGGGCGCCTGCGGTTCATGGAGCTGAGGAAGATGATTGGCATGGATGAGGTCAAGGCATCGGGTTAGCAGCAGGATTATGGGAAGAATTGTAAGACACAATCTGCTGCTTCCCATTTCTCTCTTGGCTGAAGATCAGGAGATTGGACTGGTCGGCTCGGCTGACCACCCCCTGCTGCTGTAGCAATAAGGCAGTAGGCCATAGTAGAAATGGCTTACTTCAGCCATGTAGTGTAGAGATGGCTGAGCTAAGCCTTATACCTTAGAAGTAGGTAGTTGGTGTACTCACCAACCTTGTACCTTAGGAGTAGGTAGTTGGCGTACCACCAACAACTATGTACCTGGTAGAGGTACTAGCACCTGTATATATACTATGCCAAGGCAATGCAGCAAATCAGTTCAGTTTGTCACATCCAGAAGCAGAGCCTTCGGCCAGCGCTAGGCTTGTGCTGTTTGTGTGTGAGCTGTTCTCAATATCTTCTTCTACCTCTAGCCATAGTGAGTGGGTGTGTTGGTAAGCTTAATGCTTACCTGTGCAGGGCAGCCGAAGGACCAACAGAGACACCATCTGGTTCAGCCGCCTTGCTAACCTGTTGGCCAATAACTTTGTGATGAGCTTTGCAAAAGAGTGAACCAAGCTTATTGGTCTAAAACCCTTTATATTTGTGGCATCTTCCTTCTTAGGTAGGAGTGTAATATAGGCTGAATTTAGCTGCTCGAAGTTTCTCATTTTCCAACTCCAAACCGCAGACACTGCTGTCATAATATCCACTTTGATAATCTGCCAGCAAGTTTTATAGAATTTTCCGGTGAAGCCGTCGGGGCCTGGAGCCTTGTCTGATGGCAGCAAACTTATTGTTTTCCAAATCTCCTCTTATGAGAAAGGGGCATCCAACTCTGCGAGATCATGAGATGGGATATTCACTTCCTCAAGGTTGATGGTAGAATCTCTGTCCACGCTTACCCCCAGAAGATTATAATAGAACTCATTCACAATCTTCTCCTTTTCTTCATGCTTGGTGAGAACCAGGCCATCATCCGAGACGAGACTACTAATAAAGTTCTTCCTTTTTCGATGTCTAGCATGCAGGTGAAACAATGCAGTATTGGCATCGCCTTCACCAAGCCAGCTGATCCGGGAGCGGCTCCTAGCAATTGTTTGCTGCAAGGATGACAGAGCCAAGGCGTGCCTTCTTAATTGATTGTATAGCCATTTCTCCTGGTTAGAAAGGGGGCGACCATCCTGGGCAATCTCTAGTTGATGAATTATTTCTCTTGCCATCCCAAGCTGTGAATTGATGTGCACAACTTTTTTCTAACTCCAACTTTGTAACCCTCTAACAGTGGCACGAAATTTCCTTGAAAGAGTATCAAAAGGACAGGAGGAAGCTGGTTCAGAAACCCAAGCGATCTCAACTGCCTCTTGGAACCCTTCCAATTTTGTCCAATAAGCCTCAAAATGAAATCTGGCTTTCCCAGGTTTGTTATCATGAAGACCAAGGAGAGGGCAATGATCCGAACCATCAGAGGCTGTGCTCTGCAGCAAACAATTAGGGAAAAGCTGCTCCCAATCAACTGTACACAGAAATCTGTCCAATCTGACCAGTGTTGGTGTATCTTGCTGATTGGACCATGTATATTTCCTCCCATGTAGAGGCAGCTCTTGTAAACCCAAATCATTAATGAGGCGACGGAATCTTCCCATCAGAGCCCTGTTTAGATTGCATTATTTTTGTCCTCATCTCTGTAAATGAGATTGTAATCTCCCAACACTATCCATGGGCCCTGACAAGCGGCTCGTACGTCCCTTAATTCCTGCAGGAAGAGCACCTTATTGTCATCCCCCTGAGGTCCATAGACACATGTGAGCCACCATGCTTGACCTGCACTTGGGCTGAATTGGACAGAGATGCAGTGGCTGTCCACCCGAGTAGCATTAGCAGGGCCAAGCTCATTGCGCCAGGCTACAAGAATCCCTCCACTGGCACCTACCGATGGCAGCTCTACAAAATGGGTAAAGTCTGAACCAAGGGCGGCAAGAATTTTTCCTCGAGAGAGCTTCTCTATTTTTGTTTCTTGAATGCAAACCACGTCAACACGGGAAGAGGAGACCAGAGTGCGTACTGCATCTTGACGTGCCTTGGAATTAAGTCCTCGCACATTCCAACACAAGATATTTGAAGGATTCATTGATAGAAAAATATAACAACTCGACCATGTACAGACCAGGAACACATCAGCTCTCTCCATTCACATCCTCAGGGGTTGCCCATCCAAACAGGGCTGCTAGAGCTTGGACATGAGAAGTTGGGAGTGGTTGGCCAAACAACTTGCCATAGTCATCCAGAGCTTCCTGGCTTAAACTTTCACTCTCCTTGATGACGTGCAAGGCCCTCATCACCTTCTTTTTGTTCCTTGAACTTGCAATTTTAGCAGGCGGTTCAGGCTCAACACCCACAATCCGTCGGCTTCGTCATGGAGGAGCCGAAGGTGTGCGAACCTGAGCCTTTGGCCTTGTAGCACGCGGTGCAGGGAGAATTATCATGGTCTTTTTTGTGATCTTCGCCATGAAGCTTGATCTCCGTCTGGCCGATGTGGGCGCTAGCGTCGCCGGCGTCGAAGGATTATTGCTGGTCCCCTCCGTGGCACTGGTTTCCACCGGGGCGGTGACCAGGACTTGGGCACGTTGTCTGTAGTAAACCATAGAGCAGGTTCTTGAAGCATTGGGCATTCTTAACGCTGATGTCGCCGGGCCACCAGTGGGCGTGCATTGCTCTGCGCCAACATCAGTTGCGAGCAGCAGCGAAGCATTGCCCCGTGATGGAGTTGACTGTTCCTGCGACGGCTCATTCGACCACATCCTCTCCAGCGTGGGAGACCACATACTGGCCTCGACCATGGGCTGGGACTCCTTATGTTGCATAGGCTCTTGGCTAGCCTCCAGAATAGGCCCATCCGATGATTGGCCCCATAGATAGGTCCAGCAGGTGACATGTTAACAACTTCTTGGGGCCTTTGCGCCGCCACCGTATTCATCTCGCACCCAGGCGTCGCGTCGCGCGAGGCGCTGTGGGTAACCTCCGAGGCGTTTATTTGGGACGAGGAGCCCGCAGTTATGCCAGGCCACGTGTGTACCTCTGTCCCAGGAACTGGGCTGTCACCGTGGACCTCCTCAGGAGCTGGTGAGGACGCCGCGGCCGCCACGGGCAAAGGAGCCTCCAAGGAATCAATGCAGGCACCATCCTCCGATGCGACATGCGGAAGGACGGGGGCGTGCTCCAACGTCATGTCCGGGGCTGCCGCCATGTGTCCGCCGCGAACCACCTATGGACCCAACCTAGCATGCACCGAGACACGAGGCGCTCCATTGGCTGCCGTTGCCCTCCCCGACACCTCCTGCGCCGGCGAGGTGGCTGGCCGAGAACGCCGGCGTCGTCGCTTTCTCCGCCACCCTTGATCATCATTGGCCGGAGGAGATAGTGGTGCAGGTCCTTTCGTCGCCGGCGGCTGATCGAAAGGAACCATGGTGATTTCAATGGGGCAGGTCAGCGTGCGCCTTTGCCTTTCGTTGCCAGCGACCAATGGCTCAATGATCTCGAGATCCATCTCGCTGGAATGCGTCCAGGGCAAGAACACCAGGCCGCAACTCGGGAGACATCCCGGTGGGTGGCATTGTCCGGATGTGAATCACTGACCCAGCAAAATTCATCCAGGAGCTGCTCCGTCGTTGACACCTCCCAGGCGTGCGCCGGGATGGGAGGAAGCTCGAGGGCCCGTAGCGGCGTAGAGTCAACAGAGCCTCCTCCATCTCGAACTGCCGAGCGATGGGGCCCGACAGATCTTCTTGCTCGGTGACCACGGAAACGACCGGAGCGCGGCCGAGCTCCTCCCTCCGGATGATGCTCACAGACCGATCTATGACACGCCGCAGCTTCAGGGGTCGGGGGTCATCGTCAGTCACAGGGCGATCGTCATCACTCGGCTGAAGGGCCTCGCCGGATCCCTCCTCCCCGTCATTAGTGGGGCGAGAAGGGGAGGGAGGAGCCTGACCGGCATTGTTGTCTGCAGAACGGCGTCGTGCGCCGCCGCCGCCGCCGCCCCCAGCCCTGCTCCCCAGCGGTCTCGTCAGGGTAGGAAGCCGAGGTCGCTGGAGGAGCGGCTGGCGCAGCCGAAGAGATCGGGCGCCAGATAAACGTTGGCTTGGGCATGGCCACCACTGCGACCCGCCGGCGCGGACAAACGTAAGAACGGTGTCCGGAAGCGCGGCAGACAAAGCAACGCGGGCTCGAACGGCAGCCAGCACCCCTGTGCGACACGGAAAAACAGTTGAAGCACCTTCCTCGGAGGTCCGCAGGGACCGGTCGACGGGGGCGGCGTTGAAGACGCCGACGTTCCTTCCGCGCTCGCCGTCCTTCCACTGCCAGGAAGCCGTCAGCGTCAGGCCGACGCGGCTGTAACAGACAGCTGCCCGTTGCCGGGAACAGCACGATTCTGGGGCTCACGTGGGCAAGCACCCTTCAAGGGCACGGTCGAGGTCACCTGGCGAGCAGCACCGCCAGACTCCGTCAAGACCGTGGCCGAGGTTCCGCCCGAGAGGAGCGCATCCTTGAAGGTCGGCAGCGGGCTGCCGCAGGAGCCGTCGGAGGATGGCGTGCCCTCACACCACCGTTGAGCCTTGGAGCGCCCAACAGTGGCACAGGTATGAACTTCAGGAGGCACAGTGAAGAAACTTTCTCCCGATGCCGTGGAGGTGTCCGTCGGACCTGGAGTAGGAAACGACGTGGGGCTGGTGGAGGTGGTGGCCGCCAGGCCTAGACAAGGCTCCGGCATTGGGTTGGGAGGAGAGGCGTTGGGAGGGACGCGGGGAGGGGGGAGAACGCACATGACGCTTTGCTCAAAAATCAAAAAATTACCCATAAACGCCAGCAACAATTAAACAAAGGCAATCTTTTTAAGGATTCAAAATTTCAAGTCATACTTAATGGACCCTACCATACTAGTATTTGTCAAGCAAATAGTAGGACAAGGAAATGAAGTTCAGATCAGGGTCGACCCTAACTGAGAAAGCTAACATTCATCTCCATGGTTGTGACAGTGAGATGACATTGTTTGATACAGCTGCTCCACGATCTCTAAAGATAGCAGATTTGAGCACATTGTATTGATTAACAACTGAGTTGTACAAAGTATTTGTGAATAGCTCCCTTCCCTGGATGAAAAACAAAAGAGAAGCAGAGTCATAATCACCAACAAATTTCCAAGGAATATATAACAACATTAATCAAACAAAGACAAGCTCAATGAGCAACAAGCTAATAAAACGTTCGAAAAGTAATAGGCGCTATGTTAACAATGGACACTTCTTACTAATAAGAAACCTTTTTGTCTCAAAGGACAAGGGATTAAAGATTAAGAGCAATGGAAAACTTAGATTGCAACAGGACCATTCAACCAGCTCCAAGTACAATCAGTAGGGTTTGTGAATCTCAAAGTCAAAAGAAAAACAAGCATGGAAATATAATCAATATTGCACACTGATGCAAGAGCTTGAATTCCATCTATAAACAAAAATAAGAATGCGCCATTTTCTTATGATTTTTTCATGGTATGGAGAAAAGAGAGATGAACCAGTGTTGATCCATTCTAAGAAGTCATACACGAAAGGGACCAAATTACTAGGCCAATCTACTAATATCAACTTTCCTAACAGCATAGATATCCAGACAATTCCACCACTATGCCTTCAGTAAGAGAACAATCAGAGCTGTAGAAGCTTATTTGCTTGTAACACTCAAAATCTATTATCAACGTGACTGCCTGAAATGGAGTTCCATCACCCAACTCCAATGTAAAAGGTACAAGTAAATCAGCTTATAGTGTAGCAAAAATTCACAAGCCAGCTATTTACAGGCACAGTAAGATTGAGGAATGTTGGCTCTTGCCAACGATAGCCAATTACCACACGGAAATACAAGCAGGAGCATAGGAGCATGATAATGTATATAAATATCATTGAGAATAAACCTCATCAGCATTCTTGGTATGAGCAGTAATATCCCCATATTTTATTTCTTCAGTTACTGACAAGCCTACTCCATGGAACGATATCACCCTCTGCTCACCAATCTCTTTCTCAACCTATTCAACTCGAAGAGAAAGGAAAGTTTCAGAGGTACCACAGCAAGAATACTTAAACAGGTACCATGAGCACTAATGAAGTACAGTACCTGTTGTGGTGGAGGCATAACCTCATAGCACAGCAATGATAGTGGATATATGTGCCCAGGAACGCCAGCATGCTCCAGAAGCCTCCTCATATTGTCCACTGCAGATGAATCGAATGGCGCCTGCCCTTGTTTTTGCATGTAGCAGATAAAGTAAAGATAAGGGAACATATACTTACAAAAGCAGCGGACTTTTCAAGCATTGTTTTAGGTAAAAAGAAAGATAATTCTTGTCAGCCACCTCTACAACTATCACTGTACCATCTCATTTCATTTGCTTGTTAGCAATGCAGTTACATTGAAAGAAGATGTACGATAATGCATAGAAAAGTCAAAATGGAAGAATAAGACCATCAGGCAAGAGAATATACCGGGTACCATTCTCCTGTTGAAGGATTTGGGCGGTCTCTACCACCACTCGGTGCAATCCAAAATAACTGTGAACCACCACTGCGTAATGTTGTACGAAGGTATGTGAGATCAAGCACAAAAAGTAAAGTATACGATAATCCAGAATGAGGAGATATTTTGCCTCACGAGAACAAGAACCAACTTAGCAAATGAGTAATGGTGCACAAAAAGTTTTAAAAATTCCATAGTCATCAACTCATCATATCAAATCTAAGTAATCATCACTGAAGAAGCATCAGAGTTTGATTGGTCACAGAAATGTCATTTGTGAATTTTTGTGCAAGCGTATAGTTCTTTACTCTTTTACTTGATATAAATTTGTGCCATTAGGCACCAGCTTTTGGTACAAGTCATCAAGGTAAGGCATCTGAATCAAAGAGACTTATTATTCGTATGGATCATATGGAAAAAGGATTACAGACTAACATGTTATTGTAAGGGAAGATACCGTAAAAGCAAGGCCATTTCCTTGAGACTTCGAGTATTTGATCTCCTCTTCATCTCAATTAGCTCAGGAAAATCATCCATATGCTTTTTCGAGTACACGCAAATGAGATTTCTGATGGGAGAAAATGCTTAAGTGACAAATTGATAGGAGTGAAAGAAAGTAGAGACAACATTGTCACATGTCTAAAAAGATCTGGATGAAGAGAAAGACCTTCCCATGCTAAATGGCTTGCAAAGTGGATCGGTAACAACCCTATCGCCAGCAACATAAACCTACATCAGGTGGAAAGTTTAATCTGGTTTGATTGGATCAAATAGTTCACTGATAACTTAACAGTGTATAATCAAAGAACGGCCTTACTATGTTTTCACTAATCCATGGATTGGTTTTTTCAAGAAGCAAGGAGATAATTGCTGGATCTGCTTCTGACTGATGGTTAGACATCAAAACAACATTGTGGCCCTGCGATGACATATTTCAGTACTATTTTGCATAAAAACTTTAGGAACTATTGATTGTACATAAGTGTATTAAGAAAAGTACTGCAAAAACCTCAATTCCAACATAAGATGTGTACTAATATGAGAATTGCGGGCCATGATGTCATTATAACTTATAAGAAAGCAGTATTTGCAATTTGAATGTTCCAATAGATATCTCTAAGCAATTCTCAAAATGAGAAACAAATTATCAGTTTCCGTTCAGTCCTTACATAGTGATATACATTTTATTTTCATTAAAGAATGTTGATATGATGCCATTGGGCTTCAATACAGAATACACAATGATGGTTTACATAATCCACTTCTTCTAAAAAGACCTTGACGGTTTGAATTCATAGTACCATTGTAAGATCTAGTGCTGAAAAATAAACTAGTGACAATTACTGAATGTAATGTGAACTATATTAATGACAAGATGAATTGACCTGGTGGAGCTTATCTTCCATGTCATGGAAAACGGAAATGTTGCCAACATAGGAGTTCCTGAGCAGATGAAATGAGGTTAGCAGAAGATAAGGGAACTATTACGTCTCCTGGCATGCTTTGGTAGTAAATAAATCAAAATATGTTAGCAAATAGCCCTATATGCGTTGATGGAGGAGATCGACGAAAAGCACTTGAAAAAAAAAGTTGTGCAAGGAAGAAAAACAAGAGGAAACAACTTGTGAATTTTGGTGGGTTGCAGATTACACATGAGCAGTTCCACCCGTAACAATTCACATGCCCGTTTCTCTTTTTTTATTTCTCCTTGCATTTTTTTTTGTTCAAGCTCAAATTTTGCATGCACATAGATGATTTGTATGCTCTATTCATCCATATTGTTGTTGGATTTTTCCATACACTATTAGAGATCCATATTTTTGCTTGGAGCACTTAAGATGTTTTTTTGTTCATAAAAAATTCCTCTCACTAAACTAATAGTTAAATAAGTAAACAAGTGACTGAAGCAAGACGATATTGATAAATGGGGCATGGCTTTCAGAAATGGAAATGAAGGTTACACTATAGATTAAGCAGATATTATCACCTTCATCTTTATTAGACTCGACATAATGTAAACCTCAACAGTCAACAACATGCTGGAAATATCTGAACAAAGCATTTGTTTTATTTGGACATTACCATTCTGTCATTGTGCTACAAACTACAAAAGTTTGCACGTCATGAAAACAAAAGAGCCACCAGATTCTATGCTCTAGATAATTAATCCGCGGCAAATGAAAACAACAATTGTGAGTGAAGCTGGTAAGGCATGCTATCCACCCCAGTCAAAAAGAATAACTTCCAGAAGTACAGCAGACTTTGTGTGAATTATTTGAAATTACAATGTTATCAGGTCAGATTTTGTATTACCTGAAATCTACCAGAGGCCTAATGTAGTTCTGACCAAACACGTAATAGTCAAACGGTTCCCGCACAGCTTTGTGATAAGGTGGAAAGGTAAATGGATTCTGCAAAAGGATGGAGCATGGTATTAAAGGCCATCTTGGAAAATAAATAAAATTGTTGGAACAAATTGTGATGGAAATTGGAGTAGATGGTGAAACCTGTACATCCAGTAGAACACGATCAAACAAAGCCGTCATATTTGAAAGCATGATCTCATATGCATTAGGATCTCCATTTTGCAGGACCTAATAAAGCAAAACATTCGCAAGACATGAACCATAACAAGCTGATGATAGCACATAAAAAATACCGGAAAGATCAGCCCAGTAGTTCTTACAGCATTCCTGTAATTATAATACAGCTCCTCCAGGTTACTGGCAACATCTGCAGGAAGTTTTCCATTATCCAGTTCCTTTCTGATGTGTGAAATGAGCTCTGCACAACGTGTGAATAGGGGAAAAGAAAGAAGTCGTCAGTTTCTCTGCATACCAGATGATTCTATATTAATGTGGCATGTCAGCATGTGAAATTCCTAGGTCCAATTCCATAAAAAAAAATCCTAGGTCCATTCCATGCGACTACACAAGCAGTTTGGCATAAGACTACTTCAGCTGGGCAGTTGTGCCTTCATCACTAGATTAAAGACACCAGTAGTGACAGTGGATAGTGACGCAAATGCAGTTATTAGTGCGAAACAATCAAAAAGATATGGGCAATATAAGCGCAAGGCGGGCTGCATTTGGAAGAAGCAGCAAACTAAACCTTCCTCGTCGAGCAGCGACGAGGGTCCCACCACCTCCTCGGCGCCCATATAGGAGGCGAGCACAGCGCCCTTGGCCGGGACCCGCGGGCCCCGTCCCCCTCCGGCAGCTCTCCACGCGGCCTTGGCTTCCAGCCGAAGTGCCCCGCGGCGGGACCGTAGGAGCCTCGCCGGCGCGGCGAGGATAGCGGCCCGCGGCGAGGCCAGCCAGGGCGACGGCGAGGAGGCGGCGGTGGCGGGGCAGGCGCCCCCTGCGAACGCGACCAGCATCGGCGCGTGCATGGGGAAGCGGCGACGGAAGGTTCTAGAAACCTAATCCGAAAAAAAGTGGGAGTGGTGGCCTGGGGAATAGCGCACGAATCCAGCTGCGGAGGAGGCGGAAGACGGACGGAGAGTGCGAAGAAGGCGTCGACAGTCGACAAGAGCCTCGGCCCGCTCACCCCTGCTAGCAGCACATTTTCCTCGATTTTTCTGTTCAGTTTTTTCTCCTCAAAAAATTAAAATAGAAGGAAAAATTATCTATATAGAGAAAGGAAAAAGGGATGATATTTTTAGGGCCTTGTGTGTGGGTAGGATTTGTCGAGGGAACCTATTGGATGGCACCGCACCTTTCTCTTTCCTTGATTTTGGCATACACGTCCTTGTCTTATGCCCATCATCTATCTGTTGGCCTAAAAACAGCAGCTACATTGCTACATATCAACCCTTTTAAAGGGCATCTCATACAATATCAGGTAAAAAAGACTTTTTAGACAAAGGAAGAGAGGAAGGTGATTGAAAGAGTTTTTTTTCCTCTCATCTCGTACAGCTGTACTATCTATTCATACACGTGCACGCCTACTCAACACACGTACACTACTCACACCATCCGTGTACAAACAAAACTACAACTACACTCAGATTTGAAGACCGCGTCCTTGTTGAGATCACCGAAATCCTCTGATTCATAGGCGACGGGCACGTCACGATCCCATTGTGGCATCACGCGTGAGAGGCACTGTTCATATTTGGGTGCTGCACAACACACACCCGGATGCGACACCAGCGTTGCGATCACCGGGGATCAAACGCTGGCGGGCAGACTCGCCACTGCGAGTACTACCACTGAGCCACTGGCTCGTTCGCGGTGATTGAAAGAGTTGGTTGTTTAATGAAGTAACCGGCTCATGAACAAATATTTATGACTATATATAGAGACAACTATGTTACCATTTGACTCATAAACTTTTCTTTGTTAATTACATAAACTAAGAATAATTAAGTTGCTATAAGACACTTTCAAAACAACCGTTGTATGCATTGATTGTTCAATCATCTCATGATTACGTAACACTATATGATATCATCTATAAGACAACACCAATGTAGTTGCCCCTAAGAAAAAAAATTGCTAAACAGTGTTTTGTCCAAGGGATGAAGTGGGACGGAACAATCATGCTTTTACTTGTATTTGGTCCAAAGACAGTAGGGGCAGAGTCATAACCCTAGGGAGTATATCCTGTAGATGTGGGACAACCCCATCCTTCCAAAAAAAATGTGAACATGTTTGTCATTCTTTCATGATGTGCGCTCCATTTTCTCTACTCATTCTTTTGTGCCCGTGCTCTTCTTTATTCTCTACACATAATACCATGGCAGACAAAGCAAAACCAGCCAGCACACGTGAATGGGTGAGGGTAGTGGGGGTGAACGGGGCAGCACGGATAGGTAGGGGGCAAATGAGTAGGGGTTAGACAGGTGTGCTTCTGTTTGTTGTTGCATAGGCGGAGCAGAGTAGCCGGACGGGGCTGCGGGGTGGTGGTGGCAATGGGACCGAGCTGAGCAAGGGCAGCAACGACCATGGCGGGTTGAGCTAAGTAGGGGCCGCAACGGAGCAAGCCATGGCGAGCTCAGATTAGGGATATCAATGAGGAATTTTTCGTTGAGGGATAGCTCCCCATCCCCATCCCTGCAGAGAGAAAAATTCACTGTCCCCGTCCCTATCCCCGCCCGTCCCTGCGAACATTCATGGGGAAGCTTTTCCTCCTATCCCCGTCCCCGCACGTGGAATTAATCCCGTGAGGAACCTGTCCCCGTTACAAAATGCAAAATTTAAAGAGCAAAAGCAAATTTATGGTGTCAAATCAATATAAATTGAATAAGGAAGATTCCATATTAGAAGAGATATCTATTTTAGGGTTTAGTTTGCTATTTACAATACACTATGTGTTAAATTTTTGTAAGATTTTAACATGACAAAGGGCTAATGTAGAGTAAGAGCGAGTTCACGGGGTGAGTACGCGAGGAATAGGGACAGGGATCCCAAAGCTAACGAGGACTAAATTTTCTATGTTTCTATCCCTGTGGGGATTAAATCACCCCCATTGCCATCCCCTAATAAGGGAATTCTCCACCAGGAATCGAGGAACAGGTCCCCATTGCCATCTCTAGCTCAGAACGATGGTGAGATGGCTTGAGTAACGCCCAGAGGTTCAAACCGACGGCAACCATGGTGGGTGCGTCTGCCTCTCCCCCTCTTTCCCTCTTCCCTCAAGCGAGAGGGTGGTGCAAGCAGCTCCAATGATGGCGCCCTATGGGCCTTGTGTGCTGCCATCGCCAGGTCATGGCACTACCCATCGCCCTACAACTGCTCTATATAGAAGAAACAAATAAAAATGCGGAAGAAGTTGATAGCGCATGTATTAGGATCTAGATGGCTAGAGGGAGGATGAATAGGCTGTAAAAAATTCTTCTACAAAGCATAATTCACTAGGGCAAAGTGGTTAGTACAATACATGACCTAATAGCAACCACAAGCACTAGCTCTAGTTCACTTCAAGCAAGCCTCCTACACAATTCTAATAGCAGTTGATTTCTAGCTAAAACACTTCACCACACAAAGCTACTAGCTACTAAGCTACACTAGAGAGCTAACCAAAAGAGCAACTAGCAACTAGTTACTACAAACAAGAACAACTAGCTACTCTAGCGACAACAAACAAGAGAGCTACCGCTACACAACTACACAAGCAACAAGCACTACACTGGCAAATGAATGAATGAAATACAAGTCTAGAGCTTATAGCGAACCGGACAAGAGAGATGACACAATCAATTTTTCTTCTGAGGTTTTGTTTGCTTGCCGGTGACTTAATCCCCGTTGTGGCGAGTCTTATGGTGAATGATTTTTGCACTAACTAGCATCACACGCTAGCCCCACAACTTGGGTGTCGCAAGAATCAATCCCACAAGCCCTCCTTCTAGCCACACGCAATTTATTAGAGTACACCCTTTGCACTCCACGAGGTGGGATCAAGAACCTCTTCACAATCAACTTGGTTGGGGGCGGAAGCAATCACCAATTCCCCTCACCAATCACTGAAGCTCCAATTGTCTAGGTTGCAGCAACCACCAAGAGTAACAAGAATGCCCAAGCTTCACAATCACTAGTGCCACCAAGGATGCAACTCACAAACGCAATGCATTAGTGGAATCGATCTCTCTCAAAGTGTTTTGCAAGAGCACAAGAGCAAGAGAGAGTTGGGAGGCTTTTTTTCACTTGTAGTGGATGAGCAAGACGTTACAAAGGTACCAAGAGCTCCCCAAACAGTGGCTCCAACCATATATAGAGGAGGTGGGAGCAAGTGGCCGTTAGGACCTTCATCACCTTCATGCGCACATTGGCGGTCCAACTGCGCCCCCTGGCAGTCCCACCGCTAGGGGCCAACGGTCACCAACCGCAGCACCCAATGGCTACCTAGCACCGACAGTCCCACTAGTCAATTACTGTGTCTGGCGGTCCGACCGCGCGCCTGGCCGGTCCGAGCGCCATTGTACACAAAGAGAAGTGCAAATGGCCCAGCCAAAAAACAAGTTTGGTGCTTGGTCCGATAGTGCAAAGCCTCCAAAAACATTGCCTCTATGATCCCTGTCCGTAGGTCTAGTGCATAACAGATGCCAACATGTGGCCCAAACTTCAAATCGGTTTGCTCTCGCGTGAAGACCTGCCTGGCGATACCACTACGTGTCGCCACGATCCCACCGCTTGGCTAGCTGGGCTAGGCCACGACCTGCAGCTCGCAAGCCACAACCACTAGCACCGACTGCCACGCACAGGACACGTCTGGTGTGCATGGCGGTCCTACCGCCAAGGTTGGCGATCTCACCTCTAGGGCACCAGATAGCAGCCCTACAAGCTTCTTCTTCACCTTTTCAAAAGTGCCAACTCCACCAAGTGTTTCATAACTTTTTGCAGGTTAGTTAGCATTTTCACAATCATTTTGAAAGGCATTTTTCACACATTCTCACCCATGTCACTAGTATCAAATGCAAATGCAATGTTAGTCACACCTTGTGGCACTAGACAATCGTATCAACTTGAGAGCTCCCCTCTAAATAGTACGATTATCTAACCTAAACCCGATCACACACTCTATTGCATTTTAACTAGCAAAAACAAACACCCTATCTTATACCTTCAATTCTTTTCCAAATGTTGAGTGCTTGATCAACTTGTGGCCTCCTCTCATCACCTCCATGGATGTCTTCTTGCCCAACCTTGGTGTGGACATAACCTAGCTCAATCACAACACTAGTGACAAAGGCTAGTCCACTAGTTGCACTCAATTACCAAAACTAAACATAGGGCTTTCAGCAGATCACGCATTAACAATTCCTCTTCCTCTCACCCCCTTAACAAACACAAACAGGGAGATGCCCCTATCTGAAAGGATCTAGATGGCTACACGAGGTGAATAGCCTATAAAAATTTTGTCTAAAAAACACAATCACTAATGCAAAATAGTTAGTACAATGACCAATCCTAAGAGCCACTACTTTGCATAGCCTGATTCACCCAATCCAAGTCTACTAAACAATTATAGTAGCAAGACTAACACTACTAGGCTGTAACACCTCTAGTGTTTTGACCTAGAACTAAAACTTGGCATGTCATCATATGCATTGCAAAGCATTCATAAAGAAGAAAATTTGGAATGCATTCACTAAATAAGATTTGTTTCATAAGCCGTTATTTTATGTGATGCAATGTGATTCAAAACGTTAAACAAAGATCATGACCACAAGGGTCAAATTTCATGTGATCATGTGAGACCATGTGTCATTTGACTCAAACAACCCTAATGGGCCATGTTACTGGTCAAAAATCAAAGTAAAGCAAAAGAAAGACAAATCAAATTTGAATTCAAATTCAAATTATAAAAGTCCGTTTTGCCCCTTTTTGACTAATTCAAAATCCATGTGGAATTTGGGGTTGAGGCAAAAAGCAAAGTTAAAGATTATTT